TCCTGGGTTCAAGTGATTCTCCTACCTCAGCCTTCCGAGTAGCTGGGATTACAGATGCCCGCCACCATGCCTGGCTAATTTTTGTATTGTTAGTGGAGATGGGGTTTCACCATGTTGGTCAGGCTGGTCTCAAACTCCTGACCTCAGGTGACCCACCCGCCTCAACCTCCCAAAGTGCTGGAATTACAGGTATGAGCCACTGCGCCTGGCCTGTCTTGACTTTTTGTAGTTGGGGAAACTGAGACTCAGAGATAGGCTGGAGATTGGGATGGGGTCATGAATGACAGTGGGCCCAAGCCCTTTGGAAATATGGGATATAGTCCAGGGTCTAGAACAGGCCCCTTTCTATCCCACTGTACCCCACTCCTGTGCTCTGTCCTGACCCCTGCTTAGATCACACACCATTGGCCAGGCCCTGCTAACTCTTCCTGACCTCTGGACTTCCCGTCCACTCAGGTGTGAACCCCAGCGCCAACTACCATGCCCTGTACCGCTACTTCGTGGAGCTCTGGATCTACCTGGGGCTGGCCTGGCTGTCCCTTTTTGTCAACTGGAAGGTGAGCATGTTTGTGGAAGTCCACAAAGCCATTAAGAAGCGACGGCGGCGACGGAAGGAGTCCTTCGAGAGCTCCCCGCACTCCCGGACGGCCCTGCAGGTGAAGGGGAGTACAGCCTCCAAGGATGTCAACATCTTCAGCTTTCTTTCCAAGAAGGAGGAGACCTACAACGACCTCATCAAGCAGATCGGAAAGAAGGCAATGAAGACAAGCGGGGGTGGGGAGAGGGGCCCGGGCCCGGGCCCAGGGCTAGGGCCTCAAGGTGGTGGGCTGCCAGCACTGCCCCCTTCCCTGGCGCCCCTGGTGGTCTACTCCAAGAACCGGCTGCCCAGTTTAGAAGAGGTGTCACAGACATTGAGGAGCAAAGGCCATGTATCAAGGCCCCCAGGTGAGGAGGCCGTGACACGGGCCCCTGAGGACAGCTCCCCTGCCCCCGAGGTGTTCATGAACCAGCTGGACCGCATCAGTGAGGAATGCGAGCCGTGGGACGTCCAGGACTACCACCCACTCATCTTCCAGGATGCCAGCATCACCTTTGTGAACGAAGAGGCTGGCCTCTTGGACGAGGAGACCTCCAAGTCCTCACTAGAGGACAACTTGGCAGGGGAGGAGAGCCCCCAGGAGGGGGCCGAAGCCAAGGCAACCCTGAACATGGGCGAGATCCCCTCCTCCGACGAGTCCACCTTCACCAGCACTGAGTCTGAGCTCTCCGTGCCTTACGAACAGCTGATGAATGAGTACAACAAGGCTAACAGCCCCAAGGGCACGTGAGGCGGGGCCGGCTCCCCACCCCACCTTTCACGGCCTCCTCCCCCCCCTCACCCTGGGGCAGCCCGAGATGGCCGGGGCCCCTGGCCCCTGGTGGGGTGCAGCCTTGGAACTGGGAGAGGGGGCCAGGGGCCTTCCTTACCTTCCATCATCCCCAGTTAGATGCAGGCCCAGGACGGGGCCTCTGTTCTCCAGCTGAACCATACCCTGGCTGTGGGGGCATCTGTCCTGAGCTTAACTGGTGTATCTCACAATGCGAAGACATGCAGCCTGGCTGGACAGGTGGCAGCACTGACCCTGAGGAGGCCTTGCCTGCAGGGTCTTTGCCCCGGCATTTGGTGGTCACACGGTTCTCTAAGACCCAGGGCCTCAGCTGTTTAAGTTTACCAGTATTACTGAGCTCAGCATAGGGAGAGGGAGCTCTGAAGTGTCTGGGGAAGTACCACTGTGCGTGGGGTCAGGCATCTCCGTACGTACCTCAGCAGGGGCAGGGCCCGCCCCCATCCCAGCTGTGGGCCTGCCGGTCGGGTCGGGCACCTACTACAAACCGCAGTGGGGTGGAGGCTGCTGGAGGTGAGAGTGAGATGAGGGCAGGGGCTCAAAGAGCCCTGACTCAGGGCCTGGAAACAAAGTCCCTCCTCATCCTCCTTGTTGGTCCACTCAGGCCTAGCCCAGAGCCCTGTTCCCTGTCTCAGGCCAAGCAGTGGCAGACACAGGCTTTCTGAGGGCCCCTGAGTGGTAGGAGGCGGGGAGAATGGCAGGGTATGAGTTACTGGAAGCCAGGACTGCTGGGGTTGCTGTCCAGGGAGCTGCAAGAGTGATGCTCAGCTCTGGCCCGTTCTACCTTACCCCTCCTGCCTGCTAGAGAACTGCACGCCCTACCCCCTGGCCCGAGGACCTGCACTCCCCACCCCGCTGTCTTCTTCCCTGTGCCCAAAACAAGGACCTCACTGCCCGGCTGTCCCTCCCACAAGCCCACTTGGGCCAGGCAGGGTGAGGCCAGATTGCTCTTGGCCCACAAATGGGCAATGGTCAAATATGTGAATCAAGCTCCTCTCTCTAGCTACTGTTTGATGTGCATGTGTGTATGTGCAGTGCGTGTGTGTGCACGCACACATGTGTACCCGTGTGTGTGTTTAAGAAAGGAAAGGATTTGGGCTGGGGAGTGAAAGATAATGTGAAACTGTTCGTGGACGCTCTGGTGAGGGCTGGGCAGAACTCGCTGCTACTGGAGTTCTTGGTTTCTCCATGATGTTCACCCTGGGGCTGACCCACTGCATCCTGAATGTTTTTTGTTATTCTTTTTCTATTTTATTTTTTTTAACAAACTGCTGTTTTTACATACCTGGAATTTGTTGTTGGCTTCAGAGCCGGTGGTTAAAGAGCAGGGTCCCAAGGACTGCAAGGTCCGGTGTCTGCCCTCCTGCCCCACAACTCAATTGGGCCTTGCTCGGTGACCTCAGCCAAGGCCGTGATGTCAAGGGCCATGTCTCCAAGCAGAGGTGGAGAAGGGGACACTGAGGTGAGCAAAGATGGGAGGGGCATCCACTGCAGGCTACTGGATGCTGGGCAGGAGGCAAGTCATCAGACCCTCCCAGCCCCCTTCGCTCTGTGCCCTCTGCCCCTCTACTGTGGGGCAGTGGGGCCAGCGCCCACGTCCCCGACATGTGAAGACAGTGATGGGCACGTGCCCATGCCCCCACTCCTTCTTTAGCCATTTGTTGAGGCTGCCGCCCGGCAGGGACATAAAAAGGAACAGCCTCGTATTTTTCTGTGAAATGTTTTAATGAACTCACATTATTGCTGGTTGTCCTGGCATCGCACACACTGTATGTACATACTGGCAATGATGTCAAATGTAATTTATTTTAACATTTTTACAATAAAACATGAGGTGGACAGGATAGCTTGGTGTGTGCTGTGTGGGGGGCAGGGCAGAGAGGAGTTGGCTTGTGGCCTCTGAGCAGCAGGGGACCCTGGGAGCATCCACAGAGAGTAGGGAGGACCAAGGATTGGATCAGGGAGAGGCAGGCCTCTGGGGGAGGGGAGGATGTGGGAGGAACATGGCAGTAGAGGTTTGAGATCAGGAGGGAGTCGAAGGAGCAAGGGGAGAGGCAGGGTGGTCATGGCAAATGGGTGTCACTCACCACTTTGTCAGGCACTAAATGCTTGCACTGAATGGTACGTGAGTAGACTCATTTGACCTGGCAACAGCCATATGAGGCGGGCAGTACGTCTCTCCTTTGTAGATAAGGAAACAGGCACAGAGAGATTGCCTTGCGCAAAACCTCAGTAAAAATAGGAAGCCTAGATTCAAACCCAGGCAGCCCAGCCCCTCTCTGTTCCCTCCGCCCCCGCGATGAGATGGAAAACACCGCCTGTGGTTTTCTGGCACACCCAACATCTCCGGGAAGGACTCCTGTCTCCAGGTAGGTGACCAGAGAACTTGGGCAAAGCTCAGGCCTTCTGAACTCACGCGGTGGGCAGGAGATGTAGAGGCTGGGCGTGGGCACAGTGGACTGGAAAGAATGTGAAGGGAATGGTGCCAGGCTCAGCTGGGCATCTGTCTCCATCTATCTAAAGGGAGGCTTTGTCAGGCTTCAACTGTTTGGGGACTGGCCCCTTCTATGACCATTGTCATGAGGGCATGGATGTATGGATGTGTTTACAAAGGATTTTATGTATTTACCAGCCAATTATGTAACGATGCCATCCCTCCCTCTCTGCCAACATCACATTTCCTCCCTCTTGCTGTCTCTGCTCCCCCCGACCACACACAGGTCCAAAGTTCTCTGGTTTGGCTTTAACCACATTCATCCTCAAGGCAATCACAGTTCCTTAACCCTGTAAGCCCCACCTTTATTCAGCACTTGGCCTGTTCACAAAGTCCCTTGACAAACACAGCCCAGGTTATTTGGCCCACATACAGTAGAGACCAGAGCTTGGGCACCCACTCTCTGTGTTTCCTCATCTATGAGGGCACCCAGCTGGACTGAGGCAGTTTTGCAGAACTGTGCTCACAGATGATAAAACACAAACCGAAGATTGGGTGGAGGTGCAGCCTTGGGTCACTGTGGCCAGGTTAGTCAGGAGCTTGCTGAGTACAAGGTGGGAGGTGGGGAAGGTGGGGTAGCAGCTAGTGCAAAGGGTGGGGCCCAGGAAGCCCCAAGTTCCTGAAGGGTCATGAACAAGGGAAGGGTGTCATGTAGGGGCATGGGGAACATCCCATCACAGTCTGGGGAGCTGTAGGGTGGATGCGAGTGGGGACGGTGGAGGAGACTGGCAAGTAGGTCCCAGATAGGTGGGAAGTCACTGGAGATAACACTGGCAGGGAAATCCTGTTAGTCATTGATGTATTTTTGTTTTGGATACCGAGTCTCACTCTGTCGCCCAGGCTAAAGTGCAGTAGCATGATCTCAGCTCACTGCACTGCAGCCTCTGCCTCCCGGGTTCAAGTGATTCTCACGCTTCAGCGTCCCAAGTGGCTGGGACTACAGGTGTGAGCCACCACACCTGGCTAATTTTTGTATATTTTTATTCTTTACTGTTTATTATAATCCTACTATCAGTCTGCCGCCTAACCCTAGCCTCAACAACAAGCTTTAAATCCAAAGACTTAAATAAAAATTTGCCAACAAGTCAAAAAGAACCTTTATTAATTTTTATAACTGCCTCTTATGCTTTCTTGCCAGATGCTTTTGGAGAAGGTGCTTTCTGGGGTGGAGTTGTTTGTTTTTTTTTTTTTTCTTTTTTTTAATACTTTTTTTTTTTTTTTTTTTTTTTTTTTTTTTTTTTTTTATAGACGGGGTTTCGCCATGCTGGTCAGGCTGGTCTTGAACTCCCGTCCTCAGGTGATCCGCCCACCTTGGCCTCCAAAGTGTTTGGATTACAGGCGTGAGCCATCACATCAGGCCAGGGTGGAGCTTTTTGGCCCTTCTGAGCTTCTGGAGCAGGTGCGGCCTTCTGGCCTGCGGCTTTCCAGGCAGGAGCTTTCCGATCTGGAGCCTTCCTGCCCGCAGCAGTCATCTTTTTTGCTAGAACTCTAGCAGCAGCACTATTAGCAGCAGGTGATTTTTTGGAAGAAGCTTTCAGGAGAGCTGCCTTTTGAAGCTTTCTAACTTCATTCTTGATCCTACTGTTCCTCATTTTCTTTGCCTTCATAACTTTAAAATGATCACAATCTGTCAGGTTGGCTTTCCTTTCTCTGGCTTCAATCTTCTTGGCCCATTGTGTGGCTGTCCATTTCGTATTGATGTCTGCCTTCTGCCGGTCTTGTCGGACATACTTCTGGTGGGCACTGTGTGGAAACTTGAGGATGAAATCAGTGAGCTGCATGCACTGGAAAGGCATGGCCTGTCTCCTCGCTTGAGTGCAAGGCCCATCAACCAAAGCCCTGTTCTGATCAGTAACATCTACAATCGCAACCAGTTTTCCTGCATGAGGTCCAAAGGAGATGTAGGCCACCTGGCCAACCTTCATGAAGCGTCTGAACACCACCGTGTTGGCGCCGTTAGGCGAGAAGGCCATTTTTGCATTTTTTATAGAGATGGTTTCACCATGTTGGCCAGGCTGGTCTCGAACACCTGACCTTGGGTGATCAGCTCACCTTGGCCCCCCAAAGGGCTGGGATTACAGGCGTGAGCCACAGCATCCAGCCGTCATTGATGTATTTCTAATGCAGGGCAGAGATAATTGGATAGGCGAGGCCTGCTGATGCACTGGAGTCCTCATGGAGGCAGCTCTCCTCCTCCTGTGGGCTCTGTTCCCAGCAGGCTTCTCCGCAGTCCTAGTAAACCAGCACCTGCTCTCCACCAGCATCACCTGGACTCTCCATCATTTGTTCCACTAATGTTTACTGAGCACCTACTAGGTACCATTTTTCTCATTTTATAATGAGGAAATTGAGACAAATACAGGATTTTTTCTTTTCTTTTTTTCAGACAGAATTTCACTCTTGTTGTCCAGGCTGGAGTGCAATGGTGCGATCTCGGCTCACCACAACATCCACCTCCCTGGTTCAAGTGATTCTCCTTCCTCAGCTTCCTGAGTAGCTGGTATCACAGGCATGAGCCACCACACCTGGCGAATTTTGTATTTTTAATAGAGATGGGGTTTCTCCATGTTGGTCAGGCTGGTCTCAAACTCCCGACCTCAGGTGTTCTGACTGCCTCAGCCTCCCAAAGTGCTGGGATTATAGGCGTGAGCCATCATGCACCCAGCTAGGATTTTTTCCAAGTGGAAACAACTATTAAGTGGCAGCAAAGCAGCTTCCCTGACTTGCATTCCCATTACTCATTCTACCCTCCAAGTTTCTGATCTGACAGGGAAGACAACCTCAGAGAACCCAGAGTCTGATGGAGGTGGGAGACAATATCTCCCCTCAAGGAGTCTAATCTGATGGGGAGGGGAACACAAAGGCCCTCAGGGTCTCAACTGGGCTTCTGACCTCCTGAATGACCCTGGAGGAGGCATTTAGCTCCCTGCCAGAGATGATGAAGAGAAACCAGGACATCTGGGCTTCACCTTCTGACTGTAAAGAGGCAGGCAAGATCATCAACCACTACTGCATCTGAAGCTCTCATAAGCCTGGGGTAGAATGGCGGGGAAGGGAAGGACAGGCAGGCTAGGCTGCACAGCTCTGGGTGGGGCCCCCGGAAATGAGGCCTCTGAGGTTTGGTCTCAAGCTCTGCCCTTCAGCTCTCCATTCTTGAAATAACAGGTTTCTAGTTTCCAAATTCATGCACAACTGGTCCAGGAACCAGATGACAACTTGTGAATTGCCAGGATGTGTTTGTGTAACACAGTGAAAACCCCTGCCTAAAATCTCTCCCCATCTATCCATTGTGGCCAGATCACCAGGGTCCAGGCCACTTGGCCCCACACGTGGATCCCCACAACAGCACAGGGTCTGGCACCTGGTAGGGGGTCCACAGATATTTGAATGAATGAATGAATGAATGAGCCCCATCAGCTGGTCTTCCTGCTTCTAATACTGACTCCCTTTTCACCTGGCCATTGCTGTAACCAGCAGCCTAAACTCCAACCTGATCCCTTTCTCTTCTGTTTTAAACTATTCAGGAGCTCCCCATTGCTCTTCTGCACCCCACCCCTCAACTCTCTCTCCAGCCTCCTCTCACCCCTTTCCCACCTCTCTGGGCTCCCGCCACTTTGCCCTTGCTGTTTCCTCTGCCCTGACACTCTTCCTTTCTCTCCTGGGTAAGTCCTGAGATCTAGTGGGATTAGATATGGAGATCAGCTTCTCTGGGAAGGCTTCCACGATTACCCGTAGCCCTGCCAGACTTGGCCCGGAACTCTTTCTCTGTGCTCCAGAGCCCCTCCCTCAGCAAGATGCCTTTGTCCCACCGAGCTCCTCTGATGTTGTGCCAGCTCCCTGCCTCCTGGTTCCATGCCTCCTCTCCTGACTGGGAGCCGCTAAAGTGCACAGGGAGTGGTTTGTTCACCTTCAGATTCCTTCCCAGGAGCCCAGTGTGGAGAAGGGCTCAGCTTCTCCATGTTTACTAAGCGGAGGGTAAATGAACTGAGGCCTGGCCCCTCCCACTGGTAATTTAGTCCCTCTGTTCCTGGGGCAGAGGCCAAATCAGGGGGCAAGGCTTGTTCCACGAGGGCAAGTCCCCACAAGGCCAGGTGGATGATCTTAAGGGCCCTTGTCGCAGGCTGAGTTGGCCTGGTGAGTCACCTTACCTCGTGCCAAGTCACCTGAATCTGCAGGGCAGGACTGGAATATAGCACACCTTATTTCTCCCCACCCCCAGGTGCACTGTCATTGGCACCCCCTTTTCCCCTTGCCCCACCTCCCCATCTTCACCGCTTACTGTTCCTAAATGATTCCGGAGCTGGGCCTCCCACCCCAGCAGCTCCGCAGTCCCCATGGTTCCCCCAGGAATACCTCTGCTCCCAGCAACCCTCCACGCCGGGCTCAGTCTTCCAGTTCATAAAGCCTTTTCACATCCATTCCTGGGTGGGATTGCCAACAGCAGGGAGCCAGGTACAATATTACAGGCCTCAACTTAAGGGCCTTTTCCAAATGAGTTAATAAATGTTTTGGTTTGGTTTTCCAGGAAAACAAAGCCTAAGGCTAGAACTGGGAGATGGTCAAAAGAAGTAGCAGAAAGGGATGTGGAGATAAACATGGGGAAAGAGGAAAAGGGCATAAATGTGCATTTTTGAGCTGGTTCAACTGCTGGTAACTGGGGCTTAATCCCACTAGACCTGCCCTGAAAAACCTACAGAATATGCTTCACATTTGTCCATCTGAAGGACAGGGACCTTCTGCATTTATCCACCAATTCCACCCTTGTTGGTTAAGGATGCCCCCAGGGAAATTCATCCCACCCTCCTCTCATACATGCTGGATGCAACAGGTGGTATTATCAAAAGATGACCGCCGTAGCATCTCCGGACTCACATTCTTATCTGCAAAATGAACTGGCCCCAAGCAGCATCTATCCCCTTTGAATGTGGGCTGCCCCCAGGACTGTTTTGGACAATGGAATATTACAGAAGTGACTCCTGTGATTTCTGAACCCATGTATTAAGAAGGCCTGTCAGCTTCCACTTGTGGGCTCCGTTGGAAGCCAGCTGCCATGTAAGAAATCCAAGTACCTTGAGACTCACACTGTGAAGTAGCCCAAACTAGCCCATGGAGATGCCACATAGAGAGAACTGGCCCCACTGAGTTGCCATCTTAAACACTCCAGGCCCAGCTGATGCCATACAGATTGGAGCCCAGCCAGCCCGCAGATTGCAGAATCATGAGCAAAATAAATGATTGCTGTCATAATTCTGGAAGTTTGGGGGTGGTTTATTATATCACAATAGATCATTGGAACACTGGCTGGGCTTGCCCTGAGTTATGTGACCTTTACTGGGTTTTGGAGAAAGCCTGGAGGTAGAAAGATAAGGAGACACCTGGGCACTCTGAGGTGGCACTACAGCAGTGGTGAAATGCCAAGTGGACTGAGGGATTGGGCCACCTGGCACCTATTTAGCATCTACTACCTGGAAACTAAAACTCTTTGCCCTCGAACACAATAATTGGCAGAGCTGAGACCAAATGCCGCCAGGTCCTCTAACTCTTCACCTGGGACTCTTTTCCTCATGCAACATCAAAGTTTGTACCTTCGAGTTATCAAAGCCCCTTCTACTTTAGGGTCTCTAGTTCTTCCTGCTATGTTTAAACAGTACTGGGGGACCTGGGGTCTGTTACTGTCCAGTTGCATGACCTTAATGGCCACATCTACCATTGACAGGATACTTACAGGCACTGCCCAGGATACTTTATGCACATGATCTTCTGTAATCCCACAACAGTGTTATTACCCCATTTGGAAGCTGAGGCTCACAGTGGTTATACAACCACTAGAGGTGGAGCCTGGGTTCTAAGCTAAGGATCCAGGGCCTGTGCTATTAACTACCATGTAAGCTGGCCAGAGCAAAGCTCTCCTGCCCAAGTACAAGAGCGTACAGAGAGGGTGACCTTGCTGCAGCTCCAGCCACTCCCCGGAGTCTGCCCTCCTCATCTCCAAGACCAGTGAGGTGGACCAATCAGCAGATCCCAGCCATGCAGGGACTACCCAAGAATCACCAGGGGATTCCTGGGCTCTGAAGGTTCTGGGGTAAAGCCAGGAAATACCCAGGTTCTGGGAACACCCGGCTAGAGATCTCAAACAAAGTTCAGGTCTCTCCGGGAAGCTGGGCTTCCCAAATCCCTGCCAATTCATCCCCACCTGTTTTCATTCTGCATTGGAATCTGTGTTGACATCAATTATGTAAAACTTCCTCCTCCTCCTTTGATTCCTACACCTGCGGCTCTGGCCAGCTGAGCTGCTCTGCTTTGGGTGTTGGCATCACACATTATTTAATATATGATGTATTTGTTGAGTCTCTCCTAGGTCGCCTAGAGCACCTGGTGTTGGCGACAGAGGGCAAATAAACAGCTACCTGGCAGTCAGGCCCAGAGCAGTTAGACCCCTGCCTCTTCCTATCAGCTCAGATTCCCACCCTCAGCAGTTCACTCCGGGGGAAATGTTCTGATCCAAGGGCCTGGAACCCATTTATACCAGCTTATGGGAGCTAGTGGTTAACTTTTCAGAAATTTAAAAAGCCACTATTAAAAATTAAATTATAGGCTGGATGCCGTGGCTCACACCTGTAATCCCAGCACTTTGGGAGGCCGAGGCGGGTGGATCAGGAGTTCGAGACTAGCCTGACTAACACGGAGAAACCCTGTCTCTTTAAAAAAAAAAATAAATTAAATTATATAACTATGCAATTAGATTGTATTAAGAACAAAGGTCATAATTATGTAAAATTCATTACTTCTTAATTATTTTGCATCTTACTATTATCCATGCTTTTGAGGTGATGTTTCATCTTCTATAGGTATAGGGAAATAGTATATAATGGTATGCTATTGTGTTTCCAACTTCATGTTTTGTGACATCATATTGGTAGCTAAACATTGCCCATAGTACAAGCATTTACACCATGGAAATAGGCAAACACTA